GAGACCCGCCTGGGCAACTTGGTGAGACCTCATCTCTACAATAAATCAAAAAATCAGCCGGGCATGGTCACTGCACTCCAGTCTGGGCGACCGAGTGAGACTCCAACTCTAAATAAATAAATAAATAAATTTATTTGTGGAGGCAAGGTCTCGCTGTGTACCCTAGGCTGGTCTCAAGTCCTAGGCTCAAGTAGTCATCCTGTTTCAGCCTCCCAAAGTGTTGGGATTACAGGCATGTGCCACCATGCTGGGTCTGCTCTTGGTTTTATAATTTACTATGGATTGGCTATAACCAAGGTAACAGCAAAGTCTGTGACCAACACCACCATTCTTTTTCTCACAATCATGCTATTTCAGCAGTACCAACTTTATAAAAATGATGAGCACCCCAAAACAGCCAAGCTAGGAAAAGCAGAATAATACCTCTCACTTTATGTCATACATTGTTCTTAGCACTTTATTTATACTATATTTATGTAATCCTTACAATAACCGTACCGTAATTATAACATTATTATTATCCTCAATTCAAGGATGAAGATGCAAAAGCACAGAAAGTTAAGTAATATAACTAGTCACATAGTTAGAATGAGAGTAGTATTTCTTACTTAACCATAAATAAAGAGGTACCATTTCTAAGATGCTTAATAAATGTTAATGTTCATGCATTATTTCTGCAATGCACACACTACTAATCTGCTAAAACAATATTTCCCATGAAATTTTATACAAATTTTTTCTTGTACCAAATTTTCTTATGCACACACAGACTGAGCTCTCTAATTTTAAAAATATTTGGCCTTACCTGAAATGCTTCTGCACTCCAAAGCAACTGAAAGGCTTTAAGCTTTGCATATGATTCGGCACTTTCCAAAGGAAGAGGGAGGTATCCTTGCATCCTGAAGATAAAGACTTAACCAGAATAAGTCAGGGAAAGGATCGTATCTCAGAGGGCATGTTCTGGTTTTTAATGACAAATATTTTTTAAACTGAAAGTCAAGAGACCTGAGTCCTACTGTCGAAGCTGACTGATAAGAGCAGGTGGGAGAGTTTTCCCACAAATGGCACGATATGGCTCTGTGATACAAGAAGAGTTTAGTGACACAGTTGGATCATTGCAGTTGTCACACACTTAGATAGGCAACATTTCCTTTGGGTCTTTCTTTTCATGCCACATGGCCCCAATTCTCCATCCAGTTTTTGGTGCCCCCCACCGCCCATCCTCCATTTAAGAATAAGGAACAAATGCTCCACTTTTTTTTTTTTTCTCTTTAGGCATAAGGCTAAAAACATTCTCAAACACATTCAGTAGTGGCACTGCTGAGTTAAAGGGTGTTCACATGTTCAATTTATTTGGGAATATCAAACAGTTTCCCAGTGGTTGTACTGATATACGGTGCCACCCACCAAGTAGGTGGTGTGCTTCATGTTTCTACCCATATGCCATTCATATGAAATAATGATCTCAGTATGGTTTTAACTTTTCATTATTTAATGATGAAACCGAGCATCTTCTCACATAAGGGCCACTTGTGTTTCATTTCTTGAGACTTGGGTTTCCTTTTGCCCATTTTTCCATATGCAAAACACGTGTGTCTATATGTCTTTTAAAAATGCCTATATTGTAGGCATCTTTTAGTACTGCTGTCTCTATTGACTTCTGCCCATTAAAAGGTACCATTTAAAAAGGTGAAAAGACAAACTACAAACCAGTTGAAGATACCTGTAACACCTATTAACTGACAAAGGCTTAGTATTCAAAATATATAAAGAATGCCCACATCATGGGATTTAATCAGCCTTTGATGTAGCAAAATGCAGTCTTCTAAGTCATGTAGTCTAGGCCACAGGGAAGAGCTACTGCCTCTGCTGTCTTGCGGGAAGCCTTTCAGCTCTGGTCAAGGGATGCAACTCCAGAGCTCAGAACTGCTAACCTGGTGACCTGGTGAGTTATCATGCCCATCAAATGAAAGGCCCCTTGCCGAAGAAAATGCCAGGGAACTATCTAACATGACAGACTGGGAAGACGAGCTGTGAAACAGAGTAAGACACTGAGTGAAATTCTTGTAACACAGTCAGGTGCCGTGGCTAACATAATCCCAGCACTTTGGGAGATGGAGGTGAGAGGACTGCCTGAGTCTAGGGGTTCAAGACCAGCCTGGACAACTTGGCGAGATCTCATCTCCGCATAAATAAAAAAAATTAGCTGGGCTTGGTGGCGCGTGCCAGTAGTTCCAGCTACTTGAAAGGCTGAGGTGGAAGGATCACCTGAGCCCAGCAGGCTGAGGCTTCGGTGGCCATAAGCATGCACTCCAGCCTGGGTGACGAAGTGAGACTCCAACTCAAAAAAAATATATTGTAATGCCTGATTCCCAGGAAAGGAAAAGTGGGTATGAAAGTCAGAGTCCTAAGGGAACACTCTTAGGTCATCCATTTACCAATTTGAGGGGGTATTGAGAAGTGTTTGGAGGAATGAAGTCAACAGCTCCTGTTTTGTCTTTTGGATCTAGGATCCATTGAACAAGTCAGAACTCTACTGTCCTAAGTGCCAGCTAGTGTATAAGTCAGTGATCCCTGCCTTTAGGGTTTTGGTTATTCAAGAGCAGGCATCTGCCTGGATGAGATATGCTCAGATGTCAAGGCACAGCAGAGAGCTCTGTACTCCTGAGTGACCACAACCTTCGGCAGGACCAGGGACAGTCTGACTCCAGTTCATGGGACTTCCCTATCTTTTCCTGCAATACACACTCAGAATAAAGCACTTGGAAGTGAAGCGGGGGAAGGAGAGGCATGCAGAACTGAACCCACACTAGTAGGTTCTGGATACATGTTCACATGCTGCAGAACCATAGTGATTACAAAGAACTTGGGTTCAAACTAGGCCTTCACCCACCCAATCTATCATACCCCAGCCAACCACATTACCTAGCAGAGACCACTTGTCACCTGGAGAACTTGAGGATACACAAAAATGCCCCTCATTCAAGCACAAAGGGCCAACAAAAGTCCTGCCTTCTCTGGGATGTCTACAACCGTTTTCTCCCTCGTTTGTCTTAACTCGGAGTGGTCTTCTGCACCATGGAAGCCACCTTACTTCAAATTTACAAGTCTTACAGATATTAGCTTTTGGCTTGATCTTTCCAACTATTAATAGATAGGTTCCTAGTCTTATATTTCATCACTTCCCTCAGACCTCCCGACACTTAACATTTGGTTCTACACTGTTGTTGACTGATGGGCTTCCCCAGGATGGTCATGTGCATAATGTGATATATGAAATGTTGTGCTTATTTTCTTCAAAAGTCTAAAGTTAAAAGAAAAAAGGAAAAGGGGGAAGTATTAAGCAGAAAAATAAATCTAGAAAGGGCAGTATTCATGTAACTAACAAGCAAACAGATTCATAGAAAAAAAGTGTTATTTCATTCATTTAGATTTTTATTTTGAATAGCTTCGATCAAAAAAGATTTCATTATTTACAATGCTGAATGTACAATTATGAACGTATGCCTTTTTGACAACAGGGTACCATTCTTGAGCAGCAATACGATTTTAAAAATATAAAGATGCAGTTTCATTTCTAATATAAAGTTACTTTAAAAAAAATTCAACGTCTTAGGGAATTCACAAATCATAATAGGAAGTAACTATTTATTAATTTAATGTACACATAATTACCAAATTTAATACATTAAAAATATGTGTAAATGCCGAGACTGTACAAAAATTAACACCCCATTTTGTTAAAAGCTCCCAACCACTTCCCACCATAAATATACAAAAACCTATTTTGAGATATGTCAAAATTGCATGCATGAAATATTAAGATGTTTTCTAAAGCTTGAATTTTTGCTTTTCACTGGATGTTATCTATAGCTGTTTTTGGAACAGACTACATAAACACTGATATTATTTACCATGCCTTCGAAACTGTGCAGTTCTTTCATAAACATGGGAAACAAAATAAATACAGTAAAAACTGCAACAGCTTTGTTTAAATGCAAGTGCAATTTGGAAAGCTTTCGAATTTAAGGATTATAAAACTACTATAAAAAGTATTTTGTTGTTGGCTTAGCCACTTTTATTCAAGCATTATTTGCAGCATTGCTTTACAGCAGTTGTTGCTAGAAGATACAAAACATACATAGTTACCACTATATTTATACTTGAGGGAGGAAAAAAACTTTAAACAACCCTGAGGGAGACACACATTAAAAATCTTATTTATTTAAAAAGTTAAAAAGTTACATATCATTATTTAACAATTACTTTCCCCAGACATTTCTGTCCTTTAAGTATGTGCATAAATAAAATTTAAATCAGCAATATTTATTCATCTTAATACATCAAAATAATATATGTACAGATTTTAAAATTTAGGTCTGTATAAGCTCAAATAATTTAATGTGAAATTCAGAATCAAACTTACTATGTAATGGTGACCTACAGAGAAAAATCTCAGTCTACCTGTCTATGGCACTGAGGAGGACCCATACCTAGATTCACAGACATTCTTCAAAGAACATTCTCAACTTGAATAACCCCCTTGTTGTTATGTTCAAATCTAAACTTTCTACAATCCCCTTCCATCTACCTAAAAACCTCATTCCTTTGAAAACAGTATGGGCAGATGAGATATAAAAAACTCATTAATTTTAAATGTTAAAATGGGGGGAATATAAAAAATAACTCTTTATGATCATGCTCTTAAAGATGTTAACTACAATATGATAACTGAATTTTTAACCTGCTACTTTATTTTAATTATATGCTTCAGTACTTAAACCAAAGGATAAAATGTACAATTCTGGAAATCACTAAAGAATAACATATTTGAGCATATTTGAAATGAATACGGAAATTATAAAATGATCAAGATAACAAGTAGTTATAGAAAATAGTGCGAATTCACAGCTCAAGAGGTCTAAGATGCATAGCTTCATAGAACCATTCATGGAACAATTGTTCTTATCATCTAATGTGGATTAATATCATATTATACATTTTGATGGAAAACTCTGATTATATTTTTGCAAGAATCAACAGTGCCAACAGCAACAACAGTGATCCTGAGTGTAACTTACATTTGTCTACAGTTACTATACATCATTCAGGTCTTTTGCAGCACGAGTTAAGAACCATTTGGTCCTACAATTCCAGATAAAATTTGGTAAACTGGCAAATATATATCATAAAAGTAATGACCAGCTAGTAAGTTCAGAAAGCACAAGCATCCTACTGATTAAGGAAGAACACAGGATAATGTGACACTGTTTTATGAGTCTAGAGTCCATCGTACAGCAGTACCACTTTTCTGTTTATTGTAATGGTGGACATGGCCAAACTGTTGGATCCTACCTATAAAGGCATTTTCAAAGCTACTTTAATTTTGGTAAGAATTTAAACATCAATCAGCAAAACAGAAGGCTGAGAAATATTTTCCCCTTTTTTTTTTTGGCTCAATGAATGTAGACTTTTTAAAACTTTATTTCCTCAATTTTTTCTCTTCCACAGATTTCCACATATATGCTCATTTGTAACTGTCCGAGCCAAAACAGATATTCTCTGACCTCTGGTGCCACCTAATGGCATAAAACAAACTCTCACCAAGTTCATACTGTTTTGGAAAAAAACAGCAATCATTCAAATCCAGTATTTGTTAAGCCTTATTATTGATAGGACAGACGTATACCAAACCGTCAAAATTCTAATGAGGTAAAATTCTTACAAAACAAACAAACAAAAAAACCCAACTACCTCACTATTATTCTATGTCTTTAGGTAATTAAAAATGTAGAAAAAATTTTTTTTAATATTTAAAATAAGAGGAAGCCTGAAGGGAAAACAGGTTTGAAGAAATATTAGAAAGATGACTCTACATCTATGCCAAAAGAAAACCTTTATTTCCTAGTGGAAAAGGTTCCACAACATTTAACTGAAGCAAACTAGACTAATTAGACACCACACGTCGTAGCATAAGATCCATTTAATAGCTTTGAGACATCTCAAGAAGGCAGTGAAGCACCTTGCTGATTAGAAAAATAAAACCCAGGCAGTTTGTACAGAAAATATAAAACCATAAATGGAAATTACCTGAGTTGTTCTATAAGCAACACTGTACAAACTCACTCCTAACTCTAGGCCATCAAAGTATGTTAATATAGAATTCTTTGGAAGAAATGGGATCAAACGAAAACAGGCTTTCAACCTGCTTCCACTAGAGGCTCATTAACACTCATTTATTTTTGTCAAACACAAATTTAGTGCCCATATATAAACATAGACTTTTTCTAATAAGGAGGCTGTAAAAATAAATTTAAAGGGATAAATAAGTTTTAAAAGCTAATGTCTAAAAACCTACCTAACACCAAATTTCTCATGTACCCCAATATAAAGAATATCACTGAGGGTGACAATCAAGAAAATTCTGGAAATGTATATAATATTTAGGTTACTGAATGAAGATACAGGAATTTACAGATTGATTGTTAACTGTTAGGCCAATTCTTTTTCTGTTTTGTTTTAAAAAAAAACAAAACTCTCAAATCAGCTACTATATCATAAGGGACATAAATTGAAATAGTGCCATCTTGACACACAGGATCAGAAAACCCCAAAATCACATCCTCCTGAATACTGCTATCAGCATACCACTAAGACTGACTGACTGCTACGTTATGGTAATGATCTGACAAGATCCATTCTCCCTAACTAACGTTTTAGCTTCTGTTGTTGTCTGAGGTTTTGGTGGCCATTCTGGATCAACCAAGAGCTCCTGTGCCAGGTACATATACTTCGCCTTTGGTATCTTCTTCCTACAGCCCAAGGCCCAGGACAAACAGCACTTTCCCCACCGATCCACTGACTCCTGGAAAAATAAGGAAAAAAGAACACACTAGTTGAAGGTTTGTTCAAAGGTTTGTTATTTTAAGCAGGTTTGTTAAAGCATACACCAGCACAAAACAAATTAAGAGAAAATGATTCTGAGCACAAGCAAATGGGAAAAAATCCACGTTAAAAAAAGGGCAGCTTTCAATTATTTAGGAACTTTTTATTCTGTAGATTTTTTATTATCAATGTAATTTACTTCATTTTATTTAGTTTTATGTACCTATCCTCTTGTGTACTGATAAATCTTAAATAACTTAACAGATATGGATTCTATAACACAAAGTACGTAATATATTAAGAATAACTTGAAAAAATTCAGAAAGAGAAAACATTTTTAATATTTAATTTTAAAAACCTCATGTCTATCCCAAACTATCTTTTGGTACTACTGCTCCTAGCAATTTGGCCACCTGATCATTTTTGGAAGAAAGCAATGTCAAAATATCATCACTATTAGCATATTTCAAAACAGAAGTGAATATTGTTAGGTCAAAATCAGAACTTAAATCATATTTAACATCTTTTAAAACCACAGCTAACATATAAAACAGTATTTTTATTTTATCATGATGGTATCCCTCGGTGCTCCCCAACAGGAAAGAGGTACATAGAAAGGTATAAAGCAAGTAGTACTTCTTAGTATTGTCCATTATAACAAGCTCTGCTGTCACTGAAATCCTTCTGATCAATCCTTATGTTTTTCATGAATGTGATCTTAGATAAATAATCCTTGGAGAGCAAGAAAGAAGCATCCCTGGTTAATGTATAGAAATGTAAATTCAAAAGCTGGCCAAGAAGTGCCTTCAGAATTCATTTCAATTGAAATTTGAAATAAATGAAATCAAGTTAAATGACTATACAAAGACCTGTGGTAGTTATATTCACCTCTGAAGAACAGTCAATTCTTAATTATTTGGCTGTTCCTTCTCCAAAGTGAAATTAAATTCCGAGCTGTTTTTGCCAATCAACATATAACCCAGGCTTGACTGTTTAGGTTTGAATTTTTTTTTAATTGTAGTCTCACTCTGTTTCCCTGGCTGCAGTGCAGTGGCATGCTCACAGCCACTGCAACCTCAAACTGCTGGGCTCATGCGATCCTTCCGTCTCAGTCTTCCAAGTAGCTGGAACTACATGCATGTGCCACCACACCCGACAATTTTTTTTTTAATTTATTATAGAGACAAGGTCTCGCCAAGTTGCCCATACTGGTCTCAAACCCCTGGGCTCAGGCAATCCTCTTGCCTAGACCTCCCAAAGTGCTGGGATTATAGGCGTGAACCACTGCGCCCAGTGGGTTTGATGCTTAAAAAAAAGAAGAAGAAGAAAAAAGAATATCTCACACTAACAACTAGCTCTAATCTCAACAATTGAAGTAATCCCACAAAATAGAAACATAGCATAACTGAGATATACGTGCTAATGTTAAATCTAAAATGCCTCATGATAAACAAAGGTAAATTTGGTATAACATGTACTCTGAAATATGTGTTTCTAAAATGGCCCATGACTAACAATGAAGTACTTTAAAATTGGTGTCTCAGCCTGTAATCCCAGCACTTTGGGTGGCTGAGGCGAGTGGATTGCCCGAACCTGTGGACTCGAGACCAGTCCAGGCAACTTGGGGAGACCTCGTCTCTACAATAAATCAAAAACTTAGTTGGGCGTGGTAGCACGCGCCTGTAGTTCCGGCTACTTGGAAGGCTGAGGAGGAAGGATCGCCAGAGCCCAGGAGGTTGAGGCTGCGGTGGCCAAGAGGCGTGCCACTGCCCTCCAGCCTGGGTGACACTCCACTCAAAAAAAATTTTTTTTTTTTAAATTAAAGCTCTTAAAACTTTTACATAGTTCATTTAGTAAGTCTTATCTTATTGAAACAACCATCAGGAACCTACTATTCTTTCCCTCTACTCCAGGGCACCACTGAGAATATGATAAATAGTGCTATCAACTTAAAAAGTCTTCTTGTAGCTTAAAGTTGTCAACAAAACACAATAAGCTGCACTGCTATCAAGAATTTAATAAAGGCAAAAATGTGGTCACAAGTAAGCTACATTACATTCCGGGGATGGGGGGGAGAAAGGCTTATTTATCTGGTAGCTTCTCTCTTGTTATAACTGAAGAGAGTTGTTATCATCACCTTAAAAGAAGTTCACAGGAAAATATTTAGCAATTAGGGCACAGAAGTCACTATGCATGGGATTCTTTGGGTGGTCCACAATCAGAGATAACAAATCCTTTCCAGTGTAGGCACACCACAAACTTAATATTTAATCTGAGAACCGGCTCACTACTTGGATCTTACTTTTCCCCCACGAAGTGTTTAAATTCTTCAGTTTGTGGAAAAACATCATCGTTCCTAAATCAATCTGAAAGCTGTCACTTTTTATTTTACGACAAAAGGATCATAGAAAAATAGAAAAAAGCTAATGTTGATTGTTAACATTTTTAAAGAAGCAGAAACATAATAGGACTTGTCTGTACAGGAGAGTCTGCTGGGTTGCGGGACAAGGCAAGGCATAGCACGTTAAGTTAAGGAAAGTCAAAGCCAAGTGTATTCAAATTTAAGACACACACAGATAGCTCAATCCATTGTTCTCTACTTGTGGAAAGTAAGACAAGTAGTAAAATTAAAACTAAAATTACAGCTGAATAGGATTTTTTTTTACATTTATGAGTACATTTAAAAAATCCTCACATCCCTATTAAAAAGTGTATACTTGTCATGTATATATATTTTAAATTAAGTCATGAGGAATACAAGGAATCCTCTGCTCCATCATAATTGGAAATATATTTTGTTCCTGTACCCTTACCTCCCCCAAATATCATACACAGAAAGTAAACTATATGCAAGCACAGGTTAGTTTACAAGCACAAACACAGCACACACATTCTCAATACAATGTTAATTCACTGGGAGAGAAAATAGAAGGGCTATAAGCATGCTGAAATAGGAAACTGGCCAGAGAGAGATGGTGCAAGAAAGAAAGGCAAGCACTGTGTAGCAGCATGAGGATAAAAACGCAGAGCACCAGAGGGGTTTGAATGAGCACCTGGGTATCCCCAAAACATCTAGGGCACAAGTCCCTAAAAGCAGGAGAACATAGTAGTTATAGCAACTGGATCTTTTTGTTTGTTTCTGAAAGAAATGGTTAAGTGACCAAATGAAGGAAAGAGACTACCATAGAAAGTTCAGCAGAGAAACCATAAAGAACTTAAAGATCTATTGCTAAAATTCTCCTGCTTGTTAGACTGTCCGAAACTTTCATTCTAGAACTCAAATGCTAGTTTATACTTAGCAGAGTCCTTTAGGAAATGGATAGCATATGAACTATAAAGCCATGCTTGAAGGAAAAAAAAAGTTATAAATGGCATCATGGTTTTTTCATAAGTCTTCTTCCATACCAATCCTTCAGAGAAAACAAATCAGTATTAGCATTCTATCAAAATAAGTTCAAATAATATTCTAAGTGGCATAAAGACTACCAGTTAACATTTGGATTTTTCACCATAAAAGAAAACAAGTCAGGCATAAGTCCTCAAGTCGGATCAAATTAAACACTAGCATGATTCTAGTTCCACATCTACTATTTAGTGGCCTCAGTTTAGCAGATACAAGGTAGGTGTAGGTATCAATGCTTCTAAAGAGAATGCCAGAGATAAAGCCTTCCAGAAAACCACAGATGTTAGAGACTTCCACTGAAGATTTCATTCAGTAAGTCAAGGGTGAAAGACAAAAAAGCATTTTTGCTGAAGAAAATCACTGATATAAAGAATCTTTTTTTGGTCAGAGAATAAGTACTACTATCTGGAGCTGCTAAAAAACATTAGAGGAAAACATAGTTACATAAAAATTTTAGCTGTGATAGTTGCTGAGACCACTGAGGATTAGTAAGAATCATCAAGGGGAACATATTACAATGTAAAATCCTACTCCCTGTTACTAATTATGTTAGATGCATGTTAAGTGGGTAAGGTAGGACATAATGTCTAAAGTTTCTAACAGAATGACACCCTAAAAGTCTACTTGGTCTTTAAAGACTAGTTTGAGGCTTTGTGGTATATAGTATATGGTCTTGGGTTCAGATAAACCTGAATTTGAAGTTTAGTTCAGTTTTCCTCATCTGTGAGAACTGAGAGAAACTAAAGATATTCCCATGTCTAAGGTTGCTATAACAATTAGAGAGAATACATACAAAATGTCTCACACAGTATCCACCAAAAGGTAGGTAATGATAACAGTAGCTATTGTTTGTCTCCATTTTGTCATTTGATCATTGTTAGTTTACATCTCCATGGTTCCATAAATCACTCCTCTTAAAAATCAGAAACCCCAGTTTCAACTCTCAACTCTGCCATCCATTTAGATGTATATATAACCTTGGCAAGCCAACTGAATGCTGTTCCTTTAAGGAATAAAATGGAGTTAGGCTATTTTAAGATTAGGAAGATCTTGGAGGAGTTTTATAGTGCCTTGTAAATCACCAGATATTTTGGACATGGTTACTAGAGATTTCCAGATGAGGTGGTTAGACTTCCCAATTCACTGTCCAAGGCCTGAAGCCTAGTCCAGGGTCTCTAGCTTTGAAATTTTCGACCCAACTCAATTGTCCTTGTTTACATAGTAAAGAAGGAAAAGAAGAAACAGGGCTTCTCTTCCCTGACAATAATATAGAAGAGTTTGAGAGCTGCAGTCTGAGAAGACTTCATGGGCTTCTTTGCAGAAAAGAGGAGCACAGGATAGGCAAAAGTGAAACACGGGCTCAGGGTGGAGGGGAACTGCAGCAGACACAGACTTCCTAGGAGTAGTAAGTCACCCTCACCTTTACTTTCTTTTCGCTTTATGGCAGGGTTTTTCAACCTCAGCATTACTAACATATATGGCCAGACAATTCTTTGTTATGAGAGATTATATTGTGTACGATAGGATATTTAACAGCAACCCTTACCTCTACTCACCATATGCCAGTAGCAACACCTCTCCCCTCAATTGTATGACAACTAAAAATGTCTGAAGGCACTGCCAAATGTCCTTTGTGGGGAAATCTTCCCAGACTTAGAACTACAGCCTTATGGTGTAATAAGACTGATTGGCTCTTGAAGGGTCACATATACAAACAGTGAAGTAACACTATACAGAGAAGTGTCAGAGGACGAAAGTATTTCCTTTTGTGCTAAGGTTCTAAGCATTCTCTTTCCTGACGCCAATGATTTTGAAAAATGCTTTCTTTATCATGACCAAAGAAATGGAAAACTAAAATTCTTGTCTACTCAGTGATTAGACAAGAGGATGTAGTGACCTGTGACTGTACCACTGTACCCCAGCCTGGACCACAGAGAAAGACCCAACTCCACCAACTCAATGGGAATAGAAGGGGAGGGGGCAGATATTTATTAATACATGCTTAGGAAATAGACATTTAGCAAACAAAAAAAGTTTCTATCATTTAATTTTGGTTGAAAAGTGAGGAGAAATTTCCAATTTCAAATATTTTAAAGGGGCCTTATGATATTGACTTTCAATTAAATCAGGGTATAACTCCTCTTCAGATCATGCATATCCTGTTTAGATCAACAGAGACCTCTCTGGAGAAGCTGAAAAATAAATGTCCCCCTAGGTCTAGGAATGTTTTCATGAGGACTGATGATATTAGCCATAGTTAACCATTTGAAGTAATGCAGTAAAGTAATAAAAAATATATATATATGTATGTATATGTGTGTGTGTGTATACACATATATTTATAGACAGAAGAGACTGTGCTAAAGGACCTGAGCCCCTTCTACAAGTCAGGTCGTATTCACTACTAGAAACAACTGGGTATTGCACTGCTTTGAGGGGGAAATAAAAAAAGAGTCTAATTCCATTCTTATTCCATCATTACAAAACCATCATCATTCTGGCTTGCTGGGCCTGGTTGCTCATTCCTGTAATCTCACCATTTTGGGAGGCCAAGGCAGGAAGACTGCTTGAGCCTAGGAGGTTGAGACCAGCCTAGGCAACATTGTGAGACCTCATCTCTACAAAAAAAAAAAATAAGTTAAATTAGACAGGCATGGTGGTGTACATATGTAGTTCCAGCTACTCAGGAGGCTGAGGTGGAAGGATAGCCTGAGTGCAGGAAGCCAAGGTTGCAGGGAGCCAAGATTGTGCCACTGCATTCCAGCCAGGATGACAAGAGTGAGACTCAGACTCAAAAGAAAAAAACAAATAAAAAATTCATTATTTATCATAAAGCATTAGAAAACAGAACTGGTATTCTACAGGTCATCTAATAAAGCAATCCTGTGGCATTACACCAGGATATCAAGCCTGCCAAATTACCAAAATAACTGCTTGGAAGTAACTTAGGTAAAAAGTAGGTAAAAATAAGTGAATGATCTAACTCAGAAATGACAGGGAGTCAGTCCTCTGGGACTCTGCCAGCTTCCTGTGGCTCAAGGATGAATGAAAGACTCCAGAACTCACATGTATAAAGCACATTACCAGCCTACGAACAGCAATGGGCAAGGCACTGAAGGGATGAGATTTTATTGAAATTTTATCAAATCCTCCATACCCAAAAAGTTGGTTCACAGATCAATGATTCAACAGCAGGGGTTTAAAAAAAAAAAAAAAAAAAAGTCCAACCTGTATCTGTAACAAGATTAACATGTTAACAATAGGAAATGGGTTTGGTTTTGTTTTTTTTTTTGAGTTGGAGTCTCACTCTGTTGCCCAGACTAGAGTGCAGTGGCACGCTCCCGGCCACTGCAGCCTCAACCTGCTGGGTTCTGGCGATCCTTCTGCTTCAGCCTTCCAAGTAGCTGGAACTACAGGTGCGTGCTGCCACGTCCAGCTAATTTTTTAATTTATTGTAGAGATAAGGTCTCACCAAGTTGCCCGGGCGGGTCTCAAACCCATGGGCTCAGGCAATCCACTCATCTCAGCCTCCCAAAGTGCGAGATTACAGGCTGAGCCACTGAGCCTGGCAGGGAAATGGGTTTTATTCATCTTTTTCTCTTCTCTTTTTATCATAGAGCTTGTGATGCCTTTAAAATAATGGGCTATCCAATAAAACCAAATGTCCTGAACCATAGTTTGTATAAAGATAAGCACATAATTTTCTGAATGATGAGAGACATATGTTGGGCAAAGCCAAAAAGTTACAGTAACAGATAATAAATCAGAAATAATTCCTCAAAAATGTGGCCTTTGGACTATGATCCAAAAAGAAACAATTTGCATTTCAAACCTTGGATTACATAAATCTCATTTAGCTTCTAATGGTACCCATTAAAAAACAAAATATAAAAAGAAGAGAAATGAAAACATTAACTCTCACCTTTGACGACAAGACACCTCTACACAAATAAAGGTTAGGATTGGAATGGAAAAAGACTTATGAGGGTTCTGATCCTGAAAAGCCCAGTACAAATGTTTACCATAAATTTTCTAGGACTCCTTACAGCAAATGAAATGCCAGGCATAAGAAAAAAGTTTGAAGCAACATACAACAGAACACTCCACAGATGTAGAGTACACAGCTAAAGGAACCTAGACATAGGTGAAGAATTGATATAAGTGCTGATTTCCAACCTGTGGTGGCTGTGTGCTGGTGAACCGACATTCTCCTTGTTTGTCTCGATTGGACACAATTTTCCAGAGGATCATGTCAAGGAAGAAGTTCTGAGAGATATTCCGGTGAGTTAAGAATTAATAATGACTAGGTCATTCTTTATTAATGTGCACATTTAACAAGGCTCACAAAATGCTATATCATTAGTGAAAAACATGATTTGGTTTTCATACAGAATTTCAGTTAATACTGCAAAAGGAAAAAGACTGACAGGACTATTGTAACAAATATAAATTATAAAATTATTGATGAAGTGGGACTTAATTTCCATAAAATACAGCTTTTACATGTATCCTCATGTCTTTCCCATATTAAAATGATGCTTATAATTTCTTAACAGTGTTTATTTTCACTGAATTAACATCTAATATTAATTCTAGATCTACAGATATGTATAATTTCATCAGCATTCAACACAACTCTTTAGTTAGTAAGCAACTAAATAACATGAGTGAAAAGATGAAGTAATGCTATAGAAAAAGCAAAACTTTTAGAATCCAATATCTTAGATGTATTTTCTAGCACCCATAAAATACAAAAAATATACTCTAGTGGGAGACCAGATCAGTACCGGTCAGTACCATAATATCCATGCTACCAAGTCATCCTCTAGGTGGGATAATTGAAATTAAGTATAATTTCTAAATTTAGAACTATTATCACTAAAGTATATATCTCCCAACAAATTACCTTAATTTTAATTCAAAAACCTATGCTAAGAAACCCTTAACATAAAAATCACAACTGTATCTTCCTTTTCTGTTTCTTATATAGCTACTGTAGAAGTGAATTATGATAGCAGTTCTGAGAGCAGACAAAAACTTATTAGGCAACATATGAGAAGATAACTTAAAGGTAATCCTAATAATAACAATATACATACATACAATGAATCAAAGAGTACTCAAGACTTCTGCTGATCACTCAAAAGTAAATAGCAAAGAGAAAGTTCTAGTAATCAATGCTGAAATTAGGTAAGTCCACAATGGTCATTATTTTATTCTTTCAATAAGTTCTCTTGCTATTGATATTCACTACATTTCCTGGAGAACCTGTGGCTCCCCCAACTTCCCTCCTTAAAAGATTAAGATTTTACTATATACCACAGAACACAGATGGTACATCCCACTCTGATTTCATGCTTAATGGATCATCAATTCATGGGCCACCAGGGCACCAAACTTCTCTCGTTTCTACTCATCACTAATTATTGCTATCACACTGCCTGTTTTCTCGTATCTGTATGAATGCAACCAAGTCATATCCCTTAATATGACTATATCAGCTCATGGAAAAGGTCAGAAGAAATCACTAAATGAACTTGTCTAAAATGAAACTGAGACTCTGGATTTCCATAGTGTTACTGCTGCTCTTCCCCCATTTACCATTAAATCACCCCAAGAATCCCAAAGCAGCATGGCAGTCATATAACTATCTGAGTGCGCTTACCTCTACCACGATAGATACAAGGGCATTGACAAGAACAATGATGAGCATAGTTATACGCCACTGATATGGTACACATACTATCTGTAAGACAAAAAAAATATTTCAAGTTAAAATGTATGTAGTTGATATCATAGCACCATATCATAATTTCCAAATTTACTTAATTCCTATTATGTACCAAACACTTTCACATAATCTACCTAATCCTCAACAATGCCACAAGATATATATTATAATCATGTTATATGCGGATGATAAAACTCAAAGTTTAAGTAACTGAAGATTAAACAAAATGTTATGGGGTTGAGCTTAGAGTCAGTATACTCACTCAAACTCAGAAGCTCATGCCCTGCTAGATCATGGATTTCTAACAAGTTCCTATTTTTAAAATAAAAAACGTGTCTTTAGACAATGAGGCAGATGGTAGAGGATGGCTTGAGCCCCGGTCAGATGGCAGTGAGGCATAATTACGTCACTCACTCTAGCCTGGGCAACAGAGACACTATCTCAAAAACAAAAAACAGTAATAACAACAACAAAAAACTCCTGAAAGAATCTAACCACTGACTGGTTATGAAAAGAGGAGTAAAAAACAATGATGAACAGACACACATGCATACTTCTGACTGGGGTAAGTAGGTTGTAAGGGAGAACATGATGAGCTTAATTTTTAAAATGCTGAAACTGAGGAAACTGTTGGGTAATAGTCAATATGTCAGTGGATATGCAAGTCTTAAAGCTCAGTAGCGAGAGCGAAGGTCTAACAGTTGAGAGTCTTTAACATACAGATGGCAATTATGGGTGAAACCATGACTATAGATGAGATCACCTGAATGCAGAGTGACAAGAGGGATATGAGCAGAAATATGAGGAACACTCACATTTAAGGAACAGGCAGAGGAAGTGGAGCCATAATGCAGACTGAGACTGAAGAGTGATAAAGGTAAGAAAAGGCCGGATGAGATCAAAGCATCACAAAATTCCAGAGGGAATGTCTCAAGAATAGTGACCTGGCTAGTCAAACACTGCTGGGGAGTCACATAAAATTGGAAAAAAAATTTTAAAGAGACAAGTCCATTGGACCTAGCAAACAAAAGGGTTGTAGATGGCCTTGGTAAGGGCAGTTTCGGTAGACTGGCAGGGGAAGATGCCATACTGGTTGATGATGTGGGAGGTAATGTAGTACCATTTCAAGAAAAGGTTTAGCTATGAAGAAGAAGCCACGTGTGTTGGGAGGGAAATGAAAATGTGTTTTGTTTTCTCTTTTGCTTTAAATGCTTACCTAAATCCCTCAAAGAAATATGTGAGGAAACAGACACACACATTGCTGATAAGACTATAGCCTGGAAATGTCTTCAAAGTTAAATAATGCAGAATTTATGAAAATTAAAATTCTAACTACCCTTTAATCAAGTAATTCTACTTCTGCACATTTAGCCTATTAAGGTACATTTGTATGCAACTGAAGTGTACAGGATTTATAATACATCACTGCTTACAACAGCAAAACACTGGAAATAATCAAACATCCAGCAAAACAGGACTGAGGTAAAAAAATTACCATGAAGCTCATATAACTGTAATACTCAAATTCGTTAATAACATACAAGAAAGGAAAATTAAATCTGATCTCAGGCAGGTGCGGTGACTCATGCCTGTAATTCCAGCACTTTGGGAGAAGATTGCCTAAGTCCAGGGGTTCAAGACCAGCCTGGGCATCTTGGCGAGCCCTTGTCTCTACAATTAATCAAAAAATTAGCTGGGTGCTAATGGCATGCACCTGTAGTTCCAGCCACTTCGGAGGCTGAGGCAGAAGGATCCCCTGAGCCCAGCAGTTCGAGGCTATAATGGTTGTGAACGTGCCACTTCACTCCAACCTGGGCAACAAAATGAGACTCTGACTCAAAAAATAAAAATAAAAATCTGAACTCATTTGTGCAATAGAGCCAAAAACTCAAAACAAAATATCAGAAACCCAAAGAATGTGCAACAGGACTAAATTGACATATTCCAGGAATGCAAAGTTAGCTCAATATTTGAATACTGGTCAACTATAATTCACCATTCTCCAGGGAAAAAATTGTATAGTCATTTCAAAAGCTTTGAAAAAGCACTAGATACAATTTTAAAACTATTTATGTTAACAACACCATAGAAGAAGCTTCCTTAATGTGATAAAGACTACATTCTAGAAAGCTACAGCAAAAAATATATTCAATGGTAAAATATTAGACGCATTTCCTTTACACCCAAGTATATCACTATCACTGCAACCAATATATTAAGACATGAATAAACACAGAGTATAAAAGGACCATGAAATATCAGAAACAAACAGCTTTTACTTATTTATATGATGATTATCCAAATAGAAAATCCTGGGCAATCTAAAATGTATCTGAAGGCCAGGCGTGGTAGCTCACACCTATAATACCAGCACTTTGGGAGGCCAAGGTGAGAGGATTGCCTGAGCCCATGAGTTTGAGACCAGCCTGGGCAACTTAGCAAGACCTCATTTCTACAATAAATTAAAAAATTAGCTGAGGGTTGTGGCGTGTGCCTAGAGCTCCAGCTGTTTGGAAGGTGGAGGCGGAAGTATCACCCAAGCCAGCAGGTTGAGGCTGTGGTGGCCCTGAGTGTGCCACTGCCCTCCAGCCTGGGTGACAGAGTGAGACTTCAACTCACTAGATAGATATATAGATAGACAGATAGATAAAAATGAAATGTATCTGAATAAAGTTTGACAAGACTTCTGAATATAAGATAAATATCCAAGTTAACTGCAGTGAATACACCAACATAAAATATTAGATGTTATATTAGTTACTTGTCAAGGGAACAAAAACTATAATAATCCAGGAATAAATCTAACAAAAATGGACAAAAACCTTTAGAGAGAAAATTATCAGACTTACTCAAAAACCCTAGGTCAAGAAGACTTAAAGAAATATAAATAGACATTGTTCATGGAAAGAGAAACTAATCAACTTATTGATATTTATTGATAAATAAAATAATTTATTGATGAATGCAGTGTAATTCTAATAATTTCAAGAGAGTTTTTCCTGGTACTTAACAAGCTAAACTCAAAATTTTAAAAGAAAAGCTCAAGAACAGTCAAAAAGGTCATGATGAATGATGTGAGATGGAATAACAGTCCTGTCCAATCATGTATCGAGATTTCTTATCATGTCATAATAATCTGGACAATACAGTACTGGCACAAAGAAAGATAAAGAAAACAAACAAAATATAGAGTCCCTTAAAGGCTATTATATATATATCTGATATAGGACTAGGTATCACTGAAGATCAATGGAAAAAGATGAACTATCAAATAAGTAATGCTGAAACAAATGGGTATTTAGAAAGAAATTTGATCCCTATTCAAAAGCTATATATAAAATTATTTCCACATGGATGAAAGATTAAGTGCTAAGAATAGTATCTTTTTTTTTTTTTTGAGTTGGAGTCTCACTCTATCACCCAGACTGGAGTGCAGTGGCCGCTCCAAGTCACTGCAGCCTCAACCTGCTGGGTTCCAGTGATCCTTCCGCCTCAGCCTTCTAAGTAGCTGGAACTACAGGCGCACGCTACCACGCCTGGCTAATTTTTTTTTTTTAATTGTAGAGATGAGGTCTCGCCAAGTTGCCCAGGCAGGCCTCGAACCCGCGGGCTCAGGCAATTCACTCATCTTGGCCTCCCAAAGCGTGGGATTACAGGCTGAGCCACTGAGCCCAGCAAGAAGAGTATCTTTACAGCTTTGAGACAGAGAAGTCTGTTAAACTAAGACACAAGGAACAAATAATGAAAAAAATTATTAAATTTGACTTCTGTCATATTTAAAATTTATTTTTTCAAAAAAAGATTATGAGCTGAGTGTGGTGGCTCATGCCTGTAATCCCAGTAGTTTGGGAGGCAGAAGCAAGAGGACTGCCTGAGCCCAGGGGTTTGAGACTAGCCTGGGAAACTTGGTGAGAGCTTGTCTCTATAATAAATCAAAAAATTAGCCAGGTATGGTGGTGAGTGCCTGTATTTCCAGCTACCTGTAAGTCAGAGGGGGAAGGATCACCTGAGAATAGTAGGTTGAGGCTGCTGTGCTGCAGCCTGGGCAACAGAGTAAGGCTCCAACTGAAACACACACACACACACACACACACACACACACACACACACACACACAAATGATAAGCCACAAACTAGGAGACAATATTTATCATCATTTAGCCAAATACATTAGGAACTTCTAAAAATAAGTAAGAAAAATACAACACTCTAGTAGAATAATGAACAAAGGGTATGAATAGGCAGCTCACAGATGAAATAAAAATGACCAATAAACAGATGAAAAAGTACTCAAACCCACTGGTAGAATTAATATAAGCAGCAAATTTAGACTATCATAATAGCCAGGCATGGTGGCTCATGTTTATAATTCCAGCACTTTGGGAGGCAGAGACAAGAGGGCTGCCTGAGCCCAGGGGTTCAAGACCCGGGTGGGCAATAAATCAACAAATTAGTGGGGCATGGTGGCATGTGCCTGTGACTCTAGCTGCTTGGAAGGCTGAGGCGAAAGGATCACCTGAGCCCAGCAGGTTGAGGTTGTGGTGACTCTGAGTGTGCCACTGCACTCCAGGCTGACAACAGAGTGAGAGTCTAATTCAAACAAAACAACAAAACAGAACAAGATAAAAAAAACCCATCATGATATAACATCTGACACCCACTAGACAAGATCAAGTGTTGACAACAATGTAGAACAACAGGATCTCAAACAGTGATCAGAGCATAAATCAATACAATCAATTGGAAAAACAATTTGGCATACTTTAGAAAGCTAAAGAGTACATGCTCAAAATACCAAGGGTAGTAGTGGAAGAGGTGTATTATCGCTGGAAGTGTTTAGAACTGCCAGCACACGGCAATATTTAAAGACAGTTGGACTTGTGATGGACTTCATTACTGTTTTTTAATTTTCTTTAGCACTGCACCACCCTCTCATTGCTTGTACCTGGGGTGAACTACTCCAACCCCTTTCTTTGGTACACTATTACTTACCCGCAAACACTAATAATGTTCATAGCAGCACTGTTACTACAGGAAAAGACTCTTGTAACAATGCAATTACTTACCAACAGAGAATGGAGAAATGAATTTAGCATATTCCTATAATGGTATACTATATAGCAATGAAAATGAAATACAGATATCAACAATCTTGGTGGGAAAAAGCAAGTCACAGAAAAATACAGAGAGCAAGACATCATTTTCATAAAGTTCAAAAGCATACAAAACTGTATTCTATGACTTCAAACATATACAATAAGTGTATAACAAAACAAAAATAGAATGAGGGGAAGAAAAAAAATCAAAACAGGCACTTCCTCTCAAGGTATTTAGAGAAAAATGCATGAGAGTATCTTATGGATTGGTAATGTTACATTTTTTTGGTTTTTTTTTTTGTCACTGACTTGAGCTCTGTTAATGTCACATTTTTTTCAGGTTGAACAATGAACTTAAGGTGTTTTGGGGTTTTGTTAGCTATTTTATTATTATTATGTTTAACACCTTAAATATGTGTATATTCTTTTGTATGAAAACAAAGTATTTCATCATTCATAAAATTTTAAATGAAAAGAATGAAGAACTAAACAACCAGTGAAGCAGCAGCAGCATGTGGATTAAAGAAGTAGGTTGGTAAAGGACAGAAGAATAACAATTTATCAGGACCAAGGCTTTTTTTTTAAAGACCAAGGGATATTTAATTTGTTTGTAGACAAAGAGAAATGGAACTAGAAGCAGAGTATGAACAGGTATAGCCAATAAAACGTGCTGCTTTTACATATGTTCTTTATTCTTTTTAGAGTATCTTAGGCTAATATCATTACATCTTAGAAGAGATCCTGGAAAAAAGAAATGTACATCATGTATTCTTTCCCTCAAATAAATGTACTTAAGCCTTACCTGAAGAACCTGGTCAACAGAGGCAACTGGATACAACATGATGAATAATATGAAAACATATAAGATAATCACAGATGAAACAAAAAAATCTGGAAAAGAAAGTAGAAGTAAAACAATTAAATTAGAAAATTCCTTTCAATGAAGAGGCACCCAGTAACAACTAGTATACTGTCATTCCTAAATTAGGTACTGAATACTTTCATTGCAGCTGATGAAATAAATAAAGCATTGGGCCCCCAAAAGTCTCATGTACAAGATGTGATGTTACAGACATTCCAAGTCCATTAGCTTTAACCTAAAAAATACTTCAGAAAATAATCAGCATTTTAAAAAATAAGATACAGACTTTCAAGGACATTTATATGTCCCCCAGATGGATAACTACTTTAGAACATAATCACAAATAAGAAACTATACTATGTATGACAAAATGAGATTTATCATTTAAAATATGTATTCAAGTTGGGCTCGGTGGCTCAGCCTGTAATCCTGCGCCTTTGGGAGGCTGAGGTGAGTGGATTGCCTGAGCCTACGGGTTCGAGACCTGCCTGGTTAACTTGGCAGGACCTCACCTCTACAATAAATCAAAAATTAGCTGGGCGTGGTAGCACGCGCCTGTAGTTCCAGCTACTTGGAAGGCTGAGGCGGA